ATATGAAGCTATATTTTTTGTTGATAGTGTTTCTAAATTGTTATAATGGTCATTCATATTACACTTCTATGTATTACGAAATATCTATAATGGCGGTTTCCTTCATGCTATCTGTAAACGGTTAAACAGTTACGTAACCGTAGGAGTTATTTTTGTGTTGTAATTTAACTTTATTATAGCTGTAAAATTATGTCATTCTTTCGTACACGTATATAATGCCAATACCAAAATTTAACACAAAACCTACAACATTCATTGAAATTTCCAAACATCCAAACAACAAATCTAGTTCCAACATATTACAAGTCTCAAGTCTAAAACAAGGCACACAAGAAAAGACTAAGACTGAATAATCCAAGCTGATAGACTAGTATACATTAGAACCTGGTGAGTTTGTGTTGTTCTCTAATCTTCTTTTCCATCCATGTATCATACTTAGCACCAACCATATTCAAAGCGTAGCTCTTTTCCATGTTCCCATACTCAGCACCAACCATCTCCATGAAAAACTGAAAAGAACCGAGAGCCCCCACGCCTCCATCTTCTTCCAGATCTACCGACGCTCTTCTTCTCCAGTTTCCTCCTCGCCAAAGCGAGCAAACCCGTTGTATTCTTGTAAGAAATGAGTTCTTGTAAGAAATGATTTCTCGTAAGGAACTGTATCTTTCTTTGACGTCAGAGAGGATAAAACATTTCCCAGCCTACAGAGCTTGAGATAGACATAGATAGTAAGTATATATATATATATAAGAAAAAGTATGGATTATTTGAGCCAATGAAAAGAGAGAACGGTCAAACGCCACTTAAACTTACGCAGAAATTGAATTTGTTACATGGAGAAGATCAGTTACGTGATCTCCATTTTCATCTTCCACAGTTAATCCTTCACTTCCAGCCAGGTGAACTAAAGAGAGCTTACTATTTCACTTTCTCCCATAATTGTGTTGCTGTAACAAATGTGTATTGAGACGATCCTATCAAGAGAGTATACACCAATGGCTTGCAGAACCGTGCATCAGCTACTGTTATGTTTTGTCCACGTTCTTGGAGCAATATAGCAGCTCCTAAACAGCACTGAACCGCTGAGCCATTCCCCAACAATGCAACCCTCTCTCTTTCTCTTAGAATTCTATCAAGAGAGTAGACACCAAAAAGAAACCATTATCACATTGTCTTCTTACAGAGAGTTACCAAAAAGCAACCCTCTTTCCTTCTCGTATCACATTGCGAATCTTAGCAGAGAGTTATATGTATGATATAAGAGTAAAGTAAATCGCTGATCTAAAAAAATATTGTGAATTATAAATGATCTTCATTTCACATTACATCATCATGCTTCACTAATAAACGAAAGCCAGGAAATGAAACGAAAAAAGAGGAAGCACCTGTTCATAATATAGCTCAAACACTGAAACAGAGAAACTAAACAGAGATGTGGAAGTAGAAGCAGAATGGGCCAAGTCAATAAGTTCCTCAAAACAACGAGCATATAAACCACGTTCCTGATTAGATCCTTCCTGAGAAAATCCAACAACATATCAGTCACATTAACAGAGAGAAATTGCGTGATAGATATATTATACTATGAGTCCCATGAACTTGCCCGTTGTATTCCAACCCTATTATTTAACATGAATTTTTTTTTGCGTTGTGTTCAAAGTTCAGACACATAGATAACAAACAAGAACTATACTTAATTTCAAAATTTTAGAGAGTAAAAGGAAAGAAGGACAACCTTGTTGTATGTCTTCCCGGCGTTAGTTTGTCCATAGGCAAATATATCCAGTTCTGAGAGGGTCTCTTCAAGAAGTGTATCATCTGAGGAATCATTCTCACCATAAAGCCTGAGTTCATCTACTGTTACTCTTTGTTTAATCAGTACCTACAAACACCAGATTCCAACACATGCGTTTTAAGATATCTTAATCAGTTAAATTTAATTTTGAAAAAAGCCATGTTACCTGGAAAAGACCAGGAGCATCTTCCTCTATTGATATCTCAACTGAGTTCCTGTAATTGTTATTTCCTCCATAATCAATTCACTAGAACAGTAATGAAACTAAATCTGAGAAAGAGGGTAAGAGACTTATCTTAGAATCCAACTCCATCTACTCCCTCATCTATGAACCAAATCCATCTTTTCCCTTCTCTTCTCCCTAGACTCCATCTCATCCCTCGAGCTCGAACACACAGCAGACTCCATGGATTTTTGTCTCCTCACCCCCACCTGCTCATCTTGGACTCACCACTCTCCTCACTCCCGAGTCTCTTTCTGAAAAGAAATTGGACAAGAGGTGCTTATATTGGATTGTAAGGAAAAACCTAAGCTTGATACACTAGAATGAAATAGAGAGAGGGAGATGAAGGAAGAGAGATTTATAGATGTGGATCTCAGACCTATGAATGAGGATATTCTCGAAACTCACTCGAAGGGAGAGGAACGGTGGTGACGAGGTGGACATGGCTGTCGGATGGGAGAGGACAGTGGTGATGGTCGTGGTGGTGATTCGAAGAAGACGGCGAGTGGGAGAAGAAGGAAGAAAGACTCGTGGCGGTAGGGTTTTTAAGAGTGAATTATTTTTTTGAAACTCAATTTTTTTTTGTCGAGACAAAATTTTGGAGCATTAAATAAAAATGTGTTATTGTAAAGAGGAAAAAATGTTATAACTTTGGCGCTTATCTGATTTTGGCATAAGTCTACGCGGTATAAGTGATTTTTAATTGCCGCTCATTAATTTTCGTCAATAGTAGTATTTAACTGTTATTAGTATAAATCAAAAATACAAAATTGATTTTCTATAGCACTTATTATGCTATCAATACTCGTTTTTTTTTGCAGTGATTCAAAATTACTATTCAGATAATCAGTATTATAATGCTATAGATGTCTTTATAAGTTGCTTGCAAGATATTAATGAACTTCAATTCTTAGATAAATCTATAGCTATCGCTACTAGACTCGTCCATTGATCTGACTGCCGACAATATCGACCGATGGCATGATCGCCATATCGGACGATATAGGTAGCCGTCGATCGATTACTCTATAGGAGTATCGATCGATATAGCTTCAATTCGAATTGAACATGTGTTCACCAAGATCATAGACCGGCTCTCGCATCATCCCTAGAGGATCTCAGTTTATACCAGATGATTTCAAGATGATGATTAACAACTTAAATCATTCCATGATCATATTCTAGTTAGCTACTCTAGAGTAAGCATTAGGGTTCATCAGGATAATGAATATCACAACTCAACAAACCATAGTTGGGGCTAATCCCTCATAACTATTGAACCCTAAATCTAACAAGTGAATATACTCAGACATGGCTAAGTGATTCATAGCAGCAAGGTAATAATAGAAATTCATTAGATTAGAAGATTGAACTCTTGGTTCTTTTGAACAACAAATCTCTTTATGTGTTTCTTCTAAATCTAGAATTCTATAACCTTTATGAAAATGAGAATAAGATGAAAAGAATACTTTTATAAATCAAAGAACATAAAAAGCCTGTAAAACTTTTGAAGTACAAAAAGCACTAAGGTATGAAAAGCATGTCTAGCCAAAACACATAGGCAAAACTATAAATATGTGTTCCATTAGGTTAAAAACTCGTCAGGGGCAATCTTGTAATATTGAGAGAACTTGGGCTTCAAGGCCGAGTCAACTTGTTCTTCACGCACCATGTACCATCGATCGATGGAGTATCTTAATTCGTCATCCTCTTCGGAAGCATTGTCGATCGATTACACAGGATGTGTATCGATCGATATGTATCTCTGGTATTGACCTTATTGTCTGATCTTTATAGTCATCTCGGGAAATCTCTCCTTTAAGCTCCATAAGGGCACCTAAATCATCACTTTACTCCAAAATGCTCATGAACCTGAAAACATACCTAATAGACTCTAAAACATATATACATATTATAAAATCATATAAATACCATGGTTAAAAGTGGGTCAAAACCATGGTATATCAACTCTCTTGCTATAAAAATTTTGTCGATATTGATGGTGTAGGTGGTTTACATACATATTAAAGGAGCTGTTTCAGTAGTAGGAGATTGTATATGGACTCTAAACTGCATCAGTGAGCGGTTTCATTCTCCAAGACCACCGGAACGATGTCTGACTTAGCATTACGATCATGGAAATATTGTCAAGGAAAAATGGCTAAAGTAGCTCTCAACCTTGAGGACAAGGTTGTTCTTTCCAGGGAGTATTGATACGATTATCATAGCTGAGAAATTGGACCTAGATGGACCTTTAATACATATTATTGTGGCTTAAGCTTTTAAGCCCACTTAGACTAAGTATATGTAAGAAACACTACTCTACTTTCTGATTATCGAATACGATCATAAAATTATCAAGAGGATTCTTCCTCAAACTTTCTTTCTCCCTCCTTCTTTTCTATCCTTGCTCTTCCTCTGATCTTCTCCCTCTTTCTGTTACAATTCACAATAAACCTTAATACAGGTTTATCAGAAACTAACCTAAACTTTCAAAGTCACTGAGTATAATAACAAACAATTTAAGCTATTACACTAAAACATCTTTTCATAAAAATAGGCTAAAATAAAATTATATATTCTAGGGTCACAAGCCGATGCTTCTATAGCTTTCCCTCAGAGCATATATCCATTAAAATTTTCAGAATTTAGCCCAAAAGAACACTTGAAAAGATTGAGCTTGGTATTATAATCTCCATTTCCAACGATTTGATGATCTATCTAAATTTATATAGTTTGGCCGATTTGTTCTGCAAACATTATGTTTACCAGCAAATAGCCAGTCAATCATCGTAGTGATTCAATGGTGGTATCTTGAAGAAACTTGTAACCATCAAAATTAATATAGAAATTAGGAACATGTAAATATTTTAAACAGCTTGGCAGCAGCTGATTCTCTCTCTCTCTTTTTTTTTTTCCCTTGGTCACAGATTCACAGCTTGGCAACTAGAATTTGCTTTCTTCCTTTCTTTTGTTTATTCACTCTCCATTCAAAAGTCTGTCTAAGTAATATATAAAATAAAATGAAAAAAAGAGAAAAATCGTATAGTAGTGAGACCCAGAAATTATAGTCTCTCAAATCTGAGTTCCCACTTGAATCTCAGGAAATTGCTTGGAAAATACAATAATTGGAAAGATAAGAAAAGGAAAGCATCTTTCTCTTGCATTTCCTCAAAAAAGATTGCAACAATCGAAGAGGAGCTTGAGATGGGCCACCACCACGACGGTGGAGATGGCGTCCCTCAACATGTCAACAGCCCACGCTTCTCCGGACCCATGACTCGTCGTGCTCAATCATTCAAACGCGGCGGCTCCGGAGGCAGCAGTCACATCGGCGGCGATAATAACTCCTCCACCTTGAGAGTTCACCACGAGATCGATCTACCGCTTCACTCACCTAGATCAGAGATCTCTGCGGGCTCGGGTTTAGATTCGAGTGCTGGATTCGAATCTGCGATCAGTAGTAGGAAGCAGCACCAGACATATGGTGGTCAGTTGAGGGAGAGAGTCGTGAAAGGTTTGTTGAGGAAGCCGATGGTTTCCGATTTTAGCTTGAGAGAGAGGAAGAAGCTTGGGCATTGGATGTTCTTCGCGTTTTGTGGCGTGTGTTTGTTCATGGGTGTTTTCAAGATTTGTGCAACTGGTTGGCTTGGATCCGCCATTGATAGTGCAGCTTCCGATCAGGTGCCTTTTCCAAACTGGAATTGCTGTGTTTTTGCTACTGTTTTAACTTAACTCACTTTCTTCTAGGACTCAATCCCTCGAGTAAATCTGCTTGATCATAGCTCTCATGATTACATCTATAAAGACGGAGGCAGTGATGTTGATCCAAGTTTGCTTGCTGACGGCAACAGTGTGGTTGAAGTAAGTGTTTTCTTCTACTGGGTTAATATTTTACTGTATCTCAAATCTATCTTGAATTATTGCTCTATTCTTTGTTCAGTATTCAGGCGTCTGGGCAAAACCTGAGAGTGGAAATTACTCGCAGTGCATTGACAGTTTAAGGAGACGCAAAAGTATGCCTTTGTAAAATATAAAAACTATTAATAGCAATTTCTTTTTTCTTTTCCTTTGCAGTTCTTGTCCTCGGCTTTGAGTTGTTATTATTATATAACGAAACATGTGTATGTTGTGTCCAGAGTTAGCTGCTAATACGAATGGCTATCTTCTCATAAACGCTAATGGAGGGCTAAACCAAATGAGATTTGGGGTCAGGCTTTTGTGTGTTTTCTCAAATTGTTATCTTCTCTTAATAAGTTCTAGGCTCATCTGCTTAACCATTTTTAGAATGCAGATATGTGATATGGTTGCAGTGGCCAAAATCATGAAGGCGACTTTAGTTCTTCCATCACTTGACCACAGTTCGTATTGGGCGGATGACAGGTTAGTTTTTAACTTTCTTTACAGTGTTTTATTATTCTTACCTCCTTACCGAAGCACATACCTTCCTCTATATTTCATCTAATTAAAGTAGTCTTGGTTCTCAAATAGATTGTATCTTTCTTCTTATCATACGAAAGAAAAGATAGTTAAGACACTACCATATTCATGATAACTGAACTTTCTGTTCGTTTTGTTGTATTTACCGTGTTTGCAGTGGCTTTAAGGATCTATTTGATTGGCAACACTTCATTGAGGAGTTGAAGGATGATATAAACATAGTTGAGACGCTGCCATCGGAATTAGCAGGAGTCGAGCCTTTTGTGAAGACACCCATATCGTGGTCTAAGGTAAGGATCGCTTTATTGATTTTTGGTTATTGTCGTGGCCCTCGGTTCACAGTAACTGAATACAACTATTTCCAAGAAGACCCTCGGTCAATAATTATATCCCTTGTTACAGGTTGGTTACTACAAGAAAGAGGTCCTCCCGTTGTTGAAACAACATATCGTAATGTACTTAACTCACACTGACTCCCGGCTCGCCAACAATGAGCTTCCCGATTCTGTACAAAAGCTTCGTTGCCGAGTAAACTACAGGGCGCTGAAATATTCAGCTCCAATAGAGGAACTGGGAAATGTTCTAGTTTCTAGAATGAGGCAGAACAGAGGTCCATACCTTGCTCTTCATTTAAGGCAAGTTGCTTAATCTATGCGTCACATCGTAATTTATATGACACTGGGCCATCTGCAAGTTGTATTTAGACAAATCTATATGGAAGACAAGTTTGACTTGGTTTGGTGTATAGCTCATGACATATATCCATCCTCTATAGGTATGAGAAGGATATGCTGGCTTTCACCGGATGCAGTCACAGTTTGACAGCTGCAGAAGACGAAGAATTACGGCAGATGCGGTATGAGGTTGCTCACTGGAAAGAAAAGGAGATAAATGGAACAGAGAGAAGACTGCAAGGTGGTTGCCCCTTGACTCCAAGAGAAACCTCGCTTCTGCTGAGGGCTTTGGAATTCCCGTCAAGCTCCAGGATTTACCTCGTAGCTGGCGTAGCTTATGGAAACGGAAGCATGGATTCTCTCAACACAAACTACCCCAACATTTTCTCACATTCAACGCTAGCCACCAAAGAAGAGCTGAGTCCTTTTAATAATCACCAGAACATGTTGGCTGGTTTAGACTATATTGTTGCACTTCAGAGTGAGGTGTTTCTCTACACTTATGATGGGAACATGGCAAAAGCGGTTCAAGGTCACAGGCGATTCGAGAACTTCAAAAAGACGATAAACCCAGACAAGTAAATGCACCTGAGTACACCCACTAGTTTGTAGGCTAAAGTTAATATATAATTTAAGTCACAACTTCTTCTTTTGTTGGATGCAGGATGAGCTTTGTGAAACTTGTTGATGCATTGGATGAAGGGAGAATTTCTTGGAAAAAATTCAGTTCCAAAGTAAAAAAGCTACACAAAGATCGAAATGGAGCTCCATATAACAGAGAATCAGGGGAATTTCCGAAGCTAGAAGAGAGTTTCTACGCAAATCCTCTCCCCGGGTGTATTTGCGAGACTACAGAAGAAGAAGAGAGCATAATGCGACGGACATAAACATGAGAAAAGCATATGCGTCTGGTAATATTTTTTAGTCTACAATTAGCAAAAACGAAAAGAAGAAAGGGATTGTGATTATTTTGGTATCCTGAAGCCAGAGACTGATAATTACCAAAAGCTCAAGATTGAGAAAATGGTTTCAAAGAGAAATTTGGGAACACTACATAGACTCGGAAGGTATGTCCATCCTCCACAACTCAAAATGCCATCGACAAAGTTAGCATTGAGCTATTCCATGGAGATTTGTGAAAGTGGATAAACAAAGATTCATTGTTTGTAACAGTACAATTTTCTTCTTTTTTTAAAAAAAAAACTCTAAATCAACTTTTGTTCTTTCACACGATTAATAACAAAAATATATTACTACGTACTTTTTGAGATTACACTAAAAGGTACTTTTTTATTTTTCTTTATACTTAAAAGCACTTCTTACATTCGAGACACTTTGTTGTGGGTCAAAAATAAATTGACAATTTTACCTTTAATGGATGATATGTGGACGAGTAATGTGTGGACAGATAATACCTGGTCAGAGATATGTAGACGGGTTAATAGGTGTCGGGTTAATAGGTGTGTGGATGGATAATATGTGGACGAATGATGTCTGTACAGATGACCATTATCTGATAATAACATAGAAAAACATAAATAACCATTCACATGTACCTCTCCATACTTATATGTCTACATGTAGTCATCCAAGTTTTTTAGATATCCATATATCACTCACCTATAACATAATCATTAGATATATATACATATCCTCAATGTTTATATGTTTACATGTAATCATCCACGTTTTGAAACATTTACATACCACTCATCCATAACACAATCATTAGATACATAATCATTGGATACACGTACATGTATAGATTTTAAAATATAACAAAAACATATCAAAGTGGATATCAAAATATAGAAAATAAAAAACATAATTATCAACAAAAATGTTATATATATCTTTAATTTTAAAATAAATAAAAAAAAATTTTAAGAAATAAAAACTAAATTTGAAATTACATTTTCTCTTTCCAAAACAAAAACATCCACTAAGGACAAATATGTCAATTCTCTCTTTGTATCTCTCTTGAAAGTGCATTGCAAGTGGAATGTGTCTTTTTGTGTAATTGAAAAGTGATAAAGTGCCACTTAGTATAAAAAATTCATCATACTTCTTCCTCCTACTTTAATCCGAAATCACACTTTTGTTCTTTTACACAGATTAATAACAAAATGTATATAGCTACATACATTAGAACCTCTATAAATTAAAAAATTTCACTGGTCTCAACTTGGGCCAGTGTAAAATATGACACAAATCGATAAAATAACAAGATAATAATATTTTTAAAACTTCTATGTAAACATATAGTCCCAATAAAATCATAAATTAATAATCTATATATATGCATATTTTATATAAGTACCAACTAAACATTATATTGTTGGTTTTATGATTACAAGGAAAATACCTTTATTTTTTTTTTAATATTTCAATATATTTTGATAATATTTAATAAAAATATATCGAAAACCACATAACAATTCTATGAAACATAAAAATATACACCAAATAGGATAATAAAACAATAAATATAAAAATTTATAAAATTTAAATAATGTATCTACGAGAAAATCAAATATTTTTATATTTTCTAAATAAAAATATTTAAAAAATCTAAAAAAAGAAACTTTTGTAAATTAATATCTCTATAAATTAATAAAATTTTGAAGTCCCAACAATATTAATTTATAGAGGTTCTACTATACTTCTTCCTCCTACTTTAACAACGTATTTTTGGTCACACGGCTTAGTAGCAACAAGTATCAGATGCAAGACTAATCCAAAAAATTGTTAAAATATTTCTTGGTATTTAATGATTGATCAAAACAAGTAGTAAGAAGAAATACACTATCAGTTCATTGATCTTGTAATGTCTGACGATGAACATCAAGCTCTGCAAGTTGTTGATAGGGCTGGGCATAAAATTCAAAGTCTGAGATTCAAAGCAAACCCGAACCAAAAAAGCCGATATGTTATCCGATCCGAAATGTATAAAAAACACCCGAACGGATCTTGTTAGGTGATACAAAACATAGTTAAGCCGAAATGTTTTTAACTAAAACCAAACGGATAGTCCGAAAAATCCAAAATTAATTGTTAATATAAATATTTGAAACACATATAATAAGTATTTCAGATACCCAATTCAATATGTATATGTTGATATGATTACAAAAATAAGTTTTAAAATTTAAATAAATAACTTAAACTCTCATTTACTTATAAATGAGTAATTCATAATTTGTTTATTAAAATAACACATTACTATATCTATAACGATGTTTGTTTCCAAAAAATCCAATCTGTTATCCTATCCGAAATGTATAAATACTTCTGATATTGTTGTTTCTTAAAATATTTCTCCTAATTGAACCGATATTACCCGGATACGAACTATATATGGTAACTTTATGGGTTTTAAGATACAATACAAATTTGAACCAAACTCGAAGTGTTATTATCCAAACCCGACACGTACTAATAAAATGTTAGAAAGAGATCTACGAGTGTAAACCTAAAAATATAAAATACTCGAACCAAATCCGAACGGATACCCAAATACTCATGCTTAGTTGTTAATATGATATGCAACACCAAAGAGGCTATGTCCTAAAACGACAAGAAATTTCATTGTAACCTTATAGTGACAATCAGATATGTAGCAAATTGAACCCCATTGTTGGAGATTATTTTAGCATCCTTGTCAAAAGCCTGTACTAAATTCAAATTGGTCCATTTAATAAATGGAAGTCAGTAATGAATAGGAAGTTAACAAGGAAAACGAAAACGGTGCAGAAAAGAATGTCGAAGATAAAAGGAAAAATACCTTAAAGAAAAAAAGGAAAACCAAAAAATAAAAGAAGAAGACGTTGTATGCAATCTTGTAAAAATAAAGAGGTTCTTCAAGTCTAAAGGGACATCTCAAATCATCCATAAAACATGGAGAAGCATCTCGACACTTTTCTATATAAAGCTAAATACAATCTCGACACTTTCATGTAGAAAGCCGAGAACTGGTCTAAAACGTCTCCCAGCGACTTAAACATTTATGTAATGAATTATGATTGCTAGAGCCTTATTGCAGTAAATACGTAGGCATACTTTAATTTGGTTCAGATATAACATAATAAAACCTCTTTATGTTAATTCGTCGAGTTCTATACTCAATATAAAGACTTCTCCTAACCAACCATTGAAATCATGCTCTTATCAAGTATGCTGATATCAGATTAAACAATTGGCACTGTATATGGGAGATGAAGTAAGTATCTTTAAAGAAGATTTATTTCGGTGCGATCGAAAGAATGGTAAAGAAAAGACTACAACGATTACTGTCAACTAGGGTTGTAAATAAAAAGAAAAAAATGTGTTTTCCATGACTTCTTCTTTAGACAACTTGAAACAATGATGGCTAAAGTTTGATTATTCTAGGGCATGTAAAAAATAGCACTGTCTATGGGAAATGCAGAAGTATCTTTAAACAAGATTTATTTCGGTGTGATAGAAAGAAATGGTAAAGACTACAACAATTGATGTCAACTCGAGTTGTAAAAGAAAAAGAGAGAGAATGGAAGAGTCGAATGGGCAAAGAAAAAAAAATGTGTCTTCCATGACTTCTTTTTCTTTAGAAAACTTGAAACAGCGGCGGCTCAAGTTCGATTGTTCTAGGGCAGGTTAAAAATGGAGCTTATCACTGAGCTTATGGCACTTCAACAACGAGTTCTCCAAACATTTTTCACCGTACAAGACGATCTGCATTTTGACTAATATGCTCAAGAGGACAACTTTGGTTTGATATCGATCTATGCCATCATGTTGACTAGCTGATCTGTATTTTGGCTACTATGCTCAAGAAGATGGCTCTCAACTCACATTGGTCTATGTTTTCATTTGTTGGTTAGTGTTAGGAAGTGATCAAATAGCCTGTGTTTTAAAGCAATAGTGTGTTATCAATCACGGCTTCATTGTGCCTTTTATTAATTGCTTCAAGTGAAACACCTATTTCTCACGACAATGATTAATGTGGCTTGTAATTCTATTTCCTGAAATTAAGAATGTATTGGAGTTATTAATTAGAATAATTCCATTGAATTATTAAAATTTTAAAATTCATCCATGGTATACGCAAACCAATTCATCTTCGATTAATTTGGATTGGTGGGAACTTATAACCACCTGGTCTTAACCTATGAAAATTCTCAGTTGTAACTGCTGAGAGATTAGAAATGACCTAACAGTTCAACGTCTAAAGAAGTTGCACTGGAAGCATTGTCCAAAATTACTATTTTTTTGGAGACAAAGATAAGAAGCTTTTGTTACAAAATATTTAAGCTGATCTAGGATTTGATCTTTTGTATGCCGTTGAGCCACTTGACCAAAGCAAAGATTTATATTTGCTTTTTATGGAGGAATTGCAGATTAATGTTTTATTTTCAAATAAAAAAAATGACTGATGTTGAGGCAGTTATTGATGGGATGAAAATATTTATGACATTTTTTTTATTCAAATCCTATTTTAGAGCGATGAGATCAAGTATGAGAACGTCTTACGCGGTTTTCCACTACGAGAAATGGACATTTGTTCATGACCAGTGATTTTAATGAAATTATGGGTATAATGAAAAGGAAGGAGGTAAGTGCCAATATGATGGCTCATTTTTTCCTTTTAGTTAGATGGTGACGATTGTGGAATGTTGAATTTTCTTTTCTCAGGAAATACGATGTCTTGGGTGGAAAAAAAAGGAAGGTTCACAATTGGATGTCGTCTAGATCGTACTGTAGGAAATAAAGACGGTAAGGAAGGAGGTAAGTGCCAATATGATGGCTCATTTTTTCCTTTTAGTTAGATGGTGACGATTGTGGAATGTTGAATTTTCTTTTCTCAGGAAATACGATGTCTTGGGTGGAAAAAAAAGGAAGGTTCACAATTGGATGTCGTCTAGATCGTACTGTAGGAAATGAAGACTGGCATGAAAAATTTCCACATTCTTTAGTTCAGTATTTATGCATGTGGGGATCGAATCATCGACCGGTTTTAGTTTACATACTAATGAAACCAATTAAGGCGAAAAAAATTTCAAATTTGATAAGCGCTGGTGGGATAGTGAGGAGATCAGATAGGTTATCTGGGATGGATTGAATTCACCAGATCTTCCGACTAATGCAAATATAATGGCCCATATCTCAAGTTGCTATAGAGCTTTGAGTCAATGAAGGAGACAAAATGATATAAGTTCAGAAAAGAAAGTAGCGGAACTTAAAAAGAAAGTTGAGGCT